ATCTAAATCTCTCTAAGTGTTTGTAGGGTGATATTGACTTGAACTCATGGTAAGAGGTAATTTGTATAGACGTAAAGGCGTAGATAGTAAAGCAAAAAGTATTCTTTATTCAACGATAGCAAAGGAGAATTATTACATGCCTATGTGAGGCGAATGTAAGTAAATGACTAATGCGATGGGCCTACGTGAGGCAAAGGTAAATAACTACTGGTGGAGCGAGAGAGAAAAAAAAAAAATTGACTTGATAAAAATTGTTCTAAGTGATTGTACTACACTTGTTCTTCTTCTTCCACGTCTTGCTTGTACTCGTTCGTTTTGCTGTGCTGATGGTAAAATGAATTCCTTTGGCGTTTCTACGTCTGTCAAATATAATTGAGAAAAAAGAATTTTGTCTAAGCATTTGTATTGAAGACTTAGTAATTTAAGCTGAGGGGATGCGCATTGCCGATCTACGTACCATGCTATGGGGATGTTTTTTTTTTTCTTTCTTGCACTTCGAGATATGAAATCAAGTCGTGAGTTGCTGCGAGTTACTATGCGATCATGCCTGCTGGTGGAATTATTTTTTCACGTTAGTAGGATTAAATAAGATCATCCGTGTGTTGAATGCGAGTGGAAGTATAGTTACCTCTGGCGATGTGGTATGGAGTGTTCTCGCTCTTTGGGCCGTTGCTAGAGTAATATGCATCCTCTCATAATGGATCTCAATCTGTAATAAGATGGTGGGATGTGATGAGGAATTGCTGGTGAAAATAAATTTACTAGCCCCCCAGTTTAGGTGGGATGTTAACGCACCTGGTTATGTAGTAGAAAGATTTCTAACCATCTAGGAACAGCTTACAAGACGAGTTACGTGGAAGGTCGTGGAGCCTGCAGATGCAACAATTTGTAAGTAACTTTCATATAGAAAGGGTATGGATGGTGATCTTAACTGATCTGAGGTAAGGTAGATGTATACCTTAAGCGTAGAACCGCTTGAGGTTCCCTATATTCCATGTTCTGGGTATAGGGCGTCCATCAATGTTCTCGAGGCGATATGCTCCCGTGTTGACCACCTTTGTGATTTTATACGGTCCTTCCCACTTTGGGTCGAGCTTACCGATGGGGTGAGAGGCTTCAGCTTTTCGGAGGACTAAATCTCCGACTTGAAAGGAGCGAGGGCGGACTTTTGAGTTATATGCCTTGGCCATGCGTGATTTATACATCTGTTGTCGGATGTATGCGATCTCCCGTAACTCATCTACGAGGTCTAGGCTTCCCCGCATAGCCTCTTCATTAGCTGTTGGGTCATAGTTAGTGATTCGCCAAGATGGTTCTCCTATTTCGACAGGGGCGATAGCCTCTGTTCCGAAAGCTAGATTGAAGGGCGACTCTCCGGTTGCTGCTCGTGGGGTTGTGCGATAAGCCCAAAGTGCGTTAGGCAATTCGTCCACCCACTTCCCTTTGGCACTTCCAAGTCTTGTCTTAAGGTGTTGGAGTATGGTGCGATTCGTGACCTCCGTCTGGCCATTAGCCTGTGGATTTGCTACAGATGTGAAGAATTGTTTGATGTCTAAGCCGAGGCACCAATTCTTCACTTTGTCACCGCAAAATTGGGTTCCATTATCTGAGATAATGGAACGTGGGATTCCAAAGCGACAGACGATATTTTTCCATAGGAATTGAATGACTTCTTCCTCTCGGATACGTGCTAAGGGTTCAGCCTCCACCCATTTGGTGAAGTAGTCCACTGCTACAATGAGGTATTTGCGTCCTCCTGTGGCGGGCGGGAATGGTCCAACTAAATCCATCCCCCATTGGGCGAAAGGGATGGGGCTGTCAATTGGTTGCATTAACGCTGCTGGCATGTGAGTGATATTGGCATGCTCTTGGCAGGGCTTACACCTCCGGACTAATCTTTTCGCATCTTCATGCATCGTCGGCCAATAGTAGCCCTGCCTCAGTAATTTGAGAGCTAAGGTCCTCCCGCTCAAGTGATTGCCGCAGATGCCTTCATGTACTTCTCTAAGTACGTAATCCGCTGTGGTCGGGTCGAGGCACTTGAGGTAAGGGAATGAGAACCCTCGTTTGTATAACTCTTCTCCCACTATGACGAAGCGAGCGGCTCTCGTTTTTAACTTTCGTGCTTCGGTGGAATCCGCTGGAAGTTCTCCCTTCTTGAGATACTTCAGGATTGGAGTGAACCAGCATGGTTCATCCTCCTCGGTGTACTGTACTTCCGTGGGTGAAGTTATCTCTGGCTGAGGTGAGGTGAGGAGCGTGACCTTCCGACTTCCGATGCTAGCCATGGAGCTTCCCAGCCTAGCTAATTTGTCAGCATGGACGTTATTGGAGCGAGGTACTTGTCTTATCTCGTAACTCTCGAATTTAGATAAGAGAGTGTGCGCGAGAGCTAAGTATTTGGCCATGGTGTCTTCTTTAGCCTCGTAAGCTCCAAGTACTTGGTTGACGACGAGCTGAGAATCGCTTTGGATTAGGAGCTTGCGCGCTCCGGCTGCCAGGGCGAGGCGGATTCCTGCTATCAGTGCTTCGTACTCAGCGACGTTGTTCGAGGCTGTGAATTCGAAGCGTTGAGCATACTCGAATTCGTCTCCGTCGGGGTTTGTTAGTACGATGCCCGGTCCACCTCCTGTTGTAGTAGAAGATCCATCGACGCTGACGGACCAAGTAGGTAGAGAGGTGCTTTCTTCTACTGTGGTCATTTCGACTAGAAAGTCAGCCAGTATTTGTGCTTTGATAGCTGGGCGGGGTTTGAATTCTACTCCGTATTCACTTAGCTCTATAGCCCATTTTGCTAATCGCCCGGACGTTTCGGGACTCCTTAGTATTTGCTTCAGTGGATAATTGGTGAGAACCACTACTTGATGTGACTGGAAGTAAGGTCGAAGCTTTCGGGCAGCGTTGATGAGGGCGAGAGCGAGCTTCTCCATATTGGTATAGCGTTGCTCGGCTCCTTGAAGAGCGCGACTTATGTAGTATATGGGTTGGTGACCTTTTCCTCCATCTCGGATGAGGACCGCGCTGATGGCATCAGCCGAGGTAGCTAAGTACAGCATGAGTGTGTCTCCCGGCTGAGGTTTTGTGAGCAAGGGTGGTGAAGCGAGGTATGACTTTAGCTCAGTGAAGGCTTTTTGACATGCCTCATCCCACTCGAACTTTTTTCCTCCCCTTAAAATCTTGAAAAATGGGAGAGCTTTGTCCGCTGATCTTGAAATGAATCTATTCAGGGATGCCAAACAGCCGTTGAGTTGTTGAACTTTCTTGATCGATGTTGGCGGAGTCATGGAGGTGATTGCTTCGATTTTAGCGGGATTAGCTTCGATTCCTCGCTGCGAAATCATATAACCCAAAAATTTGCCTCCCCTAACTCCGAATGAACATTTGAGGGGGTTGAGCTTCATCTTATATTTTCGCAAGGTGGTGAAACACTGTTCCAGATCCGTTATGTGGTCCGAGACCTTAATACTTTTGACGAGCATATCGTCGATGTACACCTCCATATTTTTACCGATCTGATCTGCGAACATTTTGTTCACTAGACGCTGGTAGGTGGCTCCTGCGTTTTTCAACCCGAAGGGCATGACTTGATAGCAGTAGATGCCCTGGTCAGTGATGAAACTAGCCCTCTCTTGATCTTCTGGTGCAAGTAAGATCTGGTTATATCCTTGGTATGCATCGAGAAAGCTGAGGAGTTCGCACCCCGAGGTCGAATCGATGAGCTGATCGATTCTGGGTAGAGGAAATGGGTCCTTAGGACATGCTTTGTTGAGGTCAGTGAAATCTACGCATAATCTCCACTTGTCACCGGGTTTGGGAACGAGCACTACGTTCGACAACCATTCAGGATACTGAACTGGTCGTATATGACCCGCCTCTAGAAGTTTAGCCACTTCTGCCTTGATATGCTTGTTGCGTTCGGGTCCAAACGTTCGTTTCCTCTGTTTGATCGGCTTTAACTTTTTGTCGATGTTAAGCCGATGTAGGGCTACATGAGGGGGAATGCCCGACAAATCTTGAGCTTTCCAGGCGAACACATCTCCATTGTGTCGCAAGAATTTGATTAATTGCTTCTCCATTTCAGGATCTAAATCTGATCCGATGCGTAGGAGTTTGGAGCCATCTCCAGGGGTGAGCTCTATGAACTTAAGCTCTTCGACAGCTGCCAGCTTGATGCTATCGTCTGGTACACTGATGAGGATATCTTTATTGTCCTCAATAATCGCATTGACCCACTTCCGTTTGTCGGATTTTTGGGTGTCGTCTCCCCCTCCTGGTGGTTTAGGCTTCTTGGAGGGTTCTCGTAGGGCCCTCGCATAGCACTCTCGAACGAGACGTCTATCTCCAAGTACTTCCCCCATTCCGTAGGGAGTGGGGAATTTCCACTTCTGATGGTAAGAGGAAGGTACTGATTTGAAGGTATGGATCGCTGGCCTCCCTAGGATGATGTTGTAGGGGGATGGCTTGTCGACGACGAGGAATTTGATTAGCTTGGTGATTCGACAAGGGTCTTCCCCTAAAGAGACGGGCAGCTCCACTTCTCCCATGGACAAAATGCCTTCTCCTGTGAATCCTTTCAGAGGTGTGGAGACGGGATTAAACCGGGCATTATCTATGCCCAGTTGCTTAAAAGCGTGGAGGTACATGATGTCAGCTGAGCTTCCACCGTCCACTAATATCTTCTTGACCAAGAAGTTGGCCACCGTTGTTGTTACTACCAATGCATCGACATGGTCTTCATCTGGACCTTCGAGGTCGGAGGAGTTGAAGACTATGCTGTGATCAGGTCTTCGTATTTGATATATGCGTGCGGACGGAGCGGCATGTTCTTGATTCATGCGTGCTGATCGAGCGAGGGTGCGTCTTGCATTTTGTGAGTCGCCCCCCGCCGGTCCTCCGGAGATAAAGGAGATGATTCCTCGGGTAGGCTGATTATCGTTGTTATCTAGGTCACGTCGATGACCTCCATCCTCTCGCCTTTGTTGTTGATCTCGATTGTTATCTCAGCGTGGAGGGTCATCACGGCGCTTATTTCGCGGCTTATCAATGTATTCGCCTAAATGGCCCTGTTTGATAAGCCTCTCGATCGCCATTTTGAGTTGTGCACATTCCTCTGTAGTATGCCCCCTGTCTTTATGGAATCGACAGTAACGATCCGACTTTTCTCGCTTTGCATTTGGTTGCATAGGACGTGGGGGCTCTGCTAAACCTTTCTGTTCTATCACGTGAAGTATTTCAGTGAGGCGAGCGTTTAGCGGAGTGAACCTATTGTAGGAAGAGGAGGGTTGGTTTTGAGGTGGAAGTGGTGGGCGTCGGTCATCACGTCTCCTATTGTCCTGACGGTCATCTTCCCTCTTCCTTTTAGGAGGAGCATGGGTAGAGGCTTCCTCTATCCGGACGTACTTTTCGGCTCGATTTAGCAACTCCTCTAGGTTGCCTGGTGGTCTTCCGGCAATAGATTCCTTGAATCTACCCGGTTTCAAGTTCTGTTGCATAATCCCTGAGAGCATGTCTTGCCCCACACTGGGGACTTCATGGACGGCTTCTACGAAACGTTTGATGTAGTTGCGGAGCGTTTCGTTATCTCTCTGCACTACAGAGAAAAGATGAGCTGGGGTCTTGGCATATTGTTTGTTGATGGCGAATTGGTTGGTGAACCGGGTCGACAACCGAGCGAAGGTGTCAATCGACCCTATGGGTAGAGAGTTGAACCAATTCATCGCCCTCTTGGAGAGAGTGGTACGGAACATTTTGCACATCGCCGCATCCGTCGGGCCGTATAAATCCGCCATGGCACTGAATTTCTCAATATGTTCCTGTGGGTCGGTGGTCCCTTCGAATTGAGGTAACCCCGAGATCTTTACTCCTTGAGGTAATACCTCATTGAGGATGTCTATGGTGAAGGGACTGCGTCTTGCTGGGAGAGGCATCCTCTCACCCATTTGATTATTTGGTTGGGAGAAAAGGTTTTGGCGAGACATTCGGCTGTTTACTTCGCCTTCTCCCTCATTAAAGAGAGGGATTCTTGGTGGTGATGCATTCCCCCGTAGGGGTGAGCGTCGACGTTGTTGTCTGGGATGTGCTCCTCTGTGATTGGTAGATAGCTGCACTCGGGACCGTGGGTCCGACGTAGAAGAGGAGACACTTATTTGATTCTGGATCGGCGGTGGGACCACTGGTGGTACTATAGGTGGAGCTTGTGCTGGTATCGCATTGGGAGCGTTTGCTCCCATCGTGGCGATATATTGAGTTACGGCCTCCGTGGCGGCGCGAGTAGAAGCTTCCGCTATCATACGTTGGAGTGCGTCCTCGGTTATCTGAACCGTTCGAGGAGCAGGGAGTGGTGGATCGGCGAGTGGTGGGTCCCGATGGGGGATCACCTGAACCTCGCGAGGTGGATCTGCAGTACGTGGAGGAGCTGGCTCCGTGGCACGTGGGGGAAGTTGCTCCGCGGCGCGTGGAGGAGGTGGGATGCCAGATCCTCCACGAGCGGGGAGGTTATTAGCTGTGTCGTTTTCTCTCCGAGCTGACGCCTCAGGAGGATCTTGTTGGCTACGTGATCTGGTTTGCATCGTTCCCATAGACGGCGCCAAAATGATGAAGCTAAAATATAGCTCACCTAGGATAGTATAGAAAACGAGCTGGGAGAGCAAAGCTGATCAGTAGCTAGTCAACTCGATGTTCCTGAGGTCCCTACAAAACAAGTACACGTGAACTAAGCCGGGGGTTGATCCGGCGGAAACCCCTCCGACGCTCAAGTCAGATGTATGGATCGTAGAGAGAGTAGGGAGAATAAAACTTGAGGTGAATTGTCAATAATGAGAACGTACCTTTACAAATGAATAAAACTTCTATTTATATGTCGTTGATTGAGTTGGGCTTATTTTGTTGGGCCCAAGCCTTATTTTGAAGGTGCTTGGGCTTTCGTGTAATGGGCCCGAATACTTTCGTGTATTGGACCTAATTGTTAAATGAATTGGGGCCCATTGGGTCGGCCCAATTAGGTATATCAGTCTGTTCTTTTTATCGAGTTCAAAAAACGTAGGAAAATTAATTGGTCATAGGCCAAATAATTAAATATTTGGTTTGGGCCAAATATTTTATTATTTAAATTTTGGGTCAACTAATTTGACTAATTACTAAATGTCCCCAAAAGTAATATTTGTGGACACCTAAACCCAAACTAGTCCTATCACTCGATCACATCGAGCGCACATCTTTTGAACTTTAACCATTTAATCAAGACAATTTTCATTCACTTTACTTCATGATTTTGATCAAGTAAATAAATGAAATTAATCTTTACATAATTAAATTAATATTACTCAATATTAATTATTGGAAATCATGAAAATTCCAACAATATATATATATATATATATATATATATATATATATATATATATATATATATATATATATATATATATATATATACTAGTGTAGAGCACCGCGCAATGCGCGGTGCCGGGTGCCTCGGGTGAATACAAGAACTTATCGTATTATGTATTTTCGACATACTTTCATATATCGATTTTTAGGCTGCATTTTTTTTTATCTTTTTTTTACGATTAGGTAAAATTTGTGTCGAATGTGGCGATGGGAAGTGACGATTTGAAGTTGTCTACGGAGGGTGCTATGGGGTCCACTCCATTAGAAACAAGGGAATTTGCTGGTGCACAAATGATTGTCAAAATACAAACTCGTTTCTGTGCTAACGAAAGTTGATTAATCAGGAATTAATTTTTCTTCCTTCCGTTAAAGGCTATCTGAATGACGGCGCGTGCGAAGGTATACAATATAGGGACCAAAAATCGTAAAAATTGATCGATTTGTTGATATTTAAGATTTATTTTAACATTTGAATCGACATAGATATGAATGAATTGAATCGTAAGATTTGAATCGTAAATCATAAGGCTTTATGCTCGGTATTGCGAATTCTCGTAAATGTAGCGGATATTTTGGATATTGAAAGAGAGATCCACTTTGGGGTCAAATTTGCAATTTAGGTGGAGCGGATAGGAAGATGGAGTAAGTATAAGGGTGGTTCTGCAATTTTCAGAACTGTTTGTGCCAGGGAGGTGGATTTTTTGAAATTACAAATTGACCTCCACTTGGGGGGCATTTCCGGTTTAAGGACCAAAATGAAAAATGGTATATAATATAGGGACAAAAATGTAATTTTCACTAGTTTATTATAAATAATATAATAAATTAAATTTTTCATAAATTGTAAATCGTAAAATTTGATCGATTTGTTGATATTTAAGATTTTTTTTGAACTTTGAATCGACCTAGGTATGAACGAATTGAATCATAAATCATAATATTTTAAACTCGGAATTGCGAATTTTCGTAAATGAGTCACACACGATTATAGCTGAGGAGTCCTAGAAGCATACTCCGTTGGTGGTGGATATTTCGGATATTTCAAGAGAGATCCGCTTTGGGGTTAAATTTGCAAATTGGTTGGAGCGGCTGGGAAGATAGAGTAAATAGGGTGATTCTGCAATTTTCAAAACTGTTTCAGTACGGAAGGTGGATTTTCAGAAATTACAAATTAACCCCCACTTGGGGGGCATTTATGGTTTAAGGACCAAAATTATATATATATATATATATATATATATATATATATATATATATATATATATATATATATATATATGGACCAAAAATCGTAAAATTTGATTGATATTTAAGATTTATTTTCACATTTGAATCACATAGATATGAATGAATTGAATCGTAAGATTTAAATCGTATATCATAAGGTTTTATGCTCGGTATTGCAAATTCTCGTAAACGTGGCGGGTATTTTGGATATTGAAAGAGATATCCACTTTGGGGTCAAATTTGCAATTTGGATGGAGCGCGTAGGAAGATGGAGTAAGTATAGGGGTGATTCTGCAATTTTCAGAACTGTTTGAGGCAGAGAGGTGGATTTTCAGAAATTACAAATTGACCTCCACTTGGGGGGGCATTTCCGGTTTAAGTACCAAAATAAAAAATTGTATATAACATAGGGACAAAAACCATAATTATCACAAGTTTATTATAAATTATATAATGAATTAAAGTTTTCCTAAATCGTCAAATTTGATCGATTTGTTGATATTTAAGACTTATTTTAACTTTTGAATCGACTTAGGCATGAACGAATTGAATCGTAAGATTTGAATCGTAAATCATATGATTTTATACTCGGTATTGCGAATTTTCGTAAATGAGTCACACACGATTATAACTGAGGAGGAGTCAAAGCATACTGTGTTGGTGACGGATATTTCGGATATTGCAAGAGAGATCCAATTTGGGGTCAAATTTGCAATTTGGGTAGTGCGGCTGGGAAGATGGAGTAAGTATAGGGGTGATTCTGCAATTTTAAAACTATTTTAGCCAGGGAGGTGGATTTCCAAAAATTACAAATTGTCCCCCACTTGGGGGCATTTCCGGTTTAAGGACTAAATTAAAAAAATGGTGTATTATTAAATTAAAAATGGCATATAATATAGAGACAAAAACTATAATTATCACAAGTTTATTATAAATAATATAATAAATTAAAGTATTCCTAAATCGTAAATCGTAAAATTTGTTGATATTTAAGATTTATTTTAACTTTTGAATCGACTTAGGTATGAATGAATTGAATCGTAAATCATAGTATTGCGAATTTTCGTAAATGAGTCACACACGATTATAACTGAGGAGTCGAAGCATACTGCGTTATTGGCGGATGTTTCAAATATTGCAAGAGAGATCTACTTTGGGGTTAAATTTGCAATTTGGGTAGCGCGGCTGGGAAGATGGAGTAAGTATAGGGGTGATTCTGCAATTTTCGAAACTGTGTGGGACAAGGAGGTGGATTTGTTGTCTTAAATATCAACAAATCGATCAATAAAAATTTACGATTAACGATTTAGGAAAACTTTAATTTATTATATTATTGATGATAAACTTGTGATAATAAATGTGGCGGATATTTTGGATATTTAAAGAGAGATCCACTTTGGGGTCAAATTTGCAATTTGGGTTAGGGACCAAAATAGTAATTATTTCACGTTAATTATAAATAATAAAATAAATTATTGTTTTCTTAAATTGTAAATCGTAAAATTTGATCGTTTTGTTGATATTTAAGATTTATTTTAACGTTTGAATCGACTTAGGCATGAATAATTGAATCGTAAGAATTGAATCGTAAATCATAAGATTTTAAACTCGGTATTGCGAATTTTCGTAAATGAGTCACACGCGATTATAGTTGAGGAGGCGAAGCATACTGCGTTGGTGGCGGATATTTCGGATATTGCAAGAGAGATCCACTTTGGTGTTAAATTTGCTATTTGGGTGGAACGACTGGGAAGATGGAGTAAGTATAGCGGTGATTCTGCAATTTTCAAAACTGTTTCAGTCAAGGAAGTGGATTTTCAGAAATTACAAATTGACCCCCACTTGGGGTACATTTCTTGTTTAAGGACCAAATTAAAAAAAAAAAATTATGTAATATATGGACCAAAAATCGTAAAATTTGATCGATTAGTTTATATTTAAGATTTATTTTAACATTTGAATCGACATAGATAAGAATGAATTGAATCGTAAGATTTGAATCGTAAATCATAAGATTGTATGCTCGTTATTACGAATTTTCGTAAATGTGGCGGATATTTTGGATAGCGAAAGAGAGATCCACTCTTTGGGGTCAAATTTG